GTCAGCAATGCAGGCGCTGGCAACTCCAGCAGAGACAGTGCTGTGGGAAGGAAATGGGGCGCAACGACGGCATGGTGTGTGGCTGGGACCAGACAGCAAACCGTGCTTACCACGGCATTTCTTCAGACATTTTGCAATTTTAGCACATGGCCGAGACCATGCCTCGAAAGGAGGGATGTGTGATTTAATCACACAAAATTGGTATACAAAGGGGTTTACGGCATTTGCACAGAGATTCTGCCAAACATGCGCTATCTGCCTCGCGCACAACCCAGGTAAGTCTCAAATTATCCAACAGGCTGCTCATCCCCCGCCCCTGCGCCCATTTCAACATGTCCAAATGGACTTTGTTGAACTCACACCATGCCAAGGTAAGAAATACTGTCTGGTTCTTGTCGATCTCTGGTCCAAATGGACTGAAGTATTTGCACGTAAACACGCCACGAGCAATGCGGTGGTGAAAGCTCTGCTCACAGAAATTGTACCACGATGGGGTGTCCCGGAAAAAATCTCTAGTGACAATGGCAGTCACTTTGTAGCAAAAGTCATTGAGGAAGTAGGTGAATTTCTGGGCATTGATATACGTAAACATTGCAGTTACGCCCCCTGGAGCGGAGGCGCGTGCGAGCGAGAGAATGGCACTCTGAAAAACAAACTTGCTAAAATCTGCGAACAGACAGACCTGTCTTGGATCAAAGCTCTGCCGCTAGCCCTCATGTACATGCGGATGAGAGTCAGGTCAAGGTCAAACCTAAGCCCATTCGAAATCCTCTTCGCCAGACCACCCAACTTGGGCGCGGGACCCCCGAACAGAGATCTGCCAAGCACCTCTTTGTGTGATGACGACATGCTGTCCTATTTTAAGGAAATTAATGCACTTTTGTCCTCTATTTCTGCCCAGGTCAGGAGCGCCCTGCCACAGGCTGCGCAGGCGGCTCTGCACAGGATCAAGCCAGGCGACTGGGTCCTGGTGAAGGAAACGAGACGAAAGCATTGGCGGTCCAAGCGCTGGCTCGGCCCATTCCTCGTCCTCCTGGTGACGGACACTGCCGTTAAGGTCGCGGAGAGGACAACGTGGATCCACGCCAACCACTGTCGTGCGGTGCTGCCACTGAGGGCCATAGACGAGGACACCGAGGGCGCGGACGGACCAGGCCCATCCGCGGCTCCCTACGCTGAAGAGGTCGGCCGGCGTGCGGCCACCATCGGTGAAGCAGGCCAACAACAACACCCAGAGAATCCCAGCGTTGCCGAGGCAACCCCCCTTTGCCCAACTCCCCAGCCCCCGGACCCCAAGGCCACACCCCAAACCCCGAGCACTCTGCCCAACCGAGTGCTGAGGCCAAGGCTTCAACGCAAATAGAGTCTTGCCGCTCCAAGACCAAACATCGTCATGACCACTAACGCTCCACACACGCTCATAGGGAGCGGTGCCACTGACTGCAAGGCGGCACTGTTCGTGAGTATTCCCGCGGAAAAGACTACCGAATGTAGCCCGGCTAAGACCGGCATGGGCCCTTGGACTGTTATGCTGGCCACACTGACACTACTTTCCGTGCTGACTGTGTTTATTATGTTAATATTGTCTTCCTCTGAAACTCAAAACCCTGTGATTCAAGCCATGACACGCATTACACGCAGCCTTGCTTCCGACGACACTGCTTGGTTGGAGGCCTTGAGTAAATCCTACAAACATTCTACAGTTTATTCACTCAACCTTTGGTATCAGTATGCAAAATACGTCGCAGATAGCCACAATAGATCCAATTGCTACGTATGCACCCACCTTCCTATAGCCGCCGCAAACCCCCACATAATCCCCTTACCGGTGCCAAATATTTCCAAAATCATCCCTCACACCCTGGTTTCAATGTCCGATCCCAGGGCTCCAGCAATGTTTTTTGCGGTGCCCCCAAAACTCAAGCCCCTTGCCCAGGGAGAGCTGCGTCTCAAATCCGGCAGCCATCCGGGGGAAGAGCCAATCTTCGGCCCAGTGCACATCAAACCTGGCTCCAAATTTATATGCTACACCCACTCCTGGTCTCGGGCCAACACCAGCCTTACTCTCCCGAAAGAGCCCATTCATGTGGGAAATATCCCACTTGAGTTCTGCTCTATTGTATATAGCCCCTGCACATACATGGCCAACAGCAGCAAACTTAACGATTCCCAGGCAGCCCCGGGAAGCGTGTGTGTCCCGTACTATACGGTACCAGACATTTTAGGAACGCGGCCCGTAGAGTCTCACATGTATCTGTGCGGATATCGCATGTATGACTGTCTGCCCGCAAAATGGGAGGGACGCTGTGCGGCCGCCCTTCCTGCCGACCATTCATACATCATCTCCACACTCCCTAAGGCCCAACACCGAGACAAGAGAGAACTCTACACACCACACGACCCCCTGTGGGGCACTAATGTACCCGATGACCACAAATTATGGACCACAGGCCAGAAAATAATGTTAGCATTATTTCCCAGCCTGGGTGTAGGTAAACTAATGCTAAGGACGGAGACCCTGAGCTATAGGTTCTCAGGTTTTGTCAATACCACAGTGTCCATACTTGAATCACAGAGAGTTGAACTTCACGACCTACGTGCCGTTGTTCTTCAGGACCGGTTGGTCCTGGACCACCTGACCGCGTCTGTGGGAGGCGTATGCACGATCATCGGGTCGTCCTGCTGTACATATATTCCGGCTAATGATGAGGACGGAGGTCTTATCCAACAGGGCATAGCCAATCTGACTAGGCTCCGGGACGTCATGCAAGCGGACAATGTCACGGACACTCCTCACGGTCTGGACTGGCTCCTGTCCTCCTGGCGGAGCGTGCTCATTAATCTTGGTTTAGCCCTATTGACTGTTATGGTTTTATTTTCATGTGTATTACCTTTGGTGTTTCGGGCCGTTGGTAAAATGATATCCACTCACTTTGTGTCCATTCAATACAAAGATCCGAGGCGGACCTGGCCGCTGTCCCACTGAACTCCGATCCTGATTATATCAGCGACTCGGACGATGACTTTGTCTAATGTTTTCTTTCTTGTTTACCTTGTTTTTATTTTTCCACTTGTTTCGCCTACAATTTAGGGGGAGGGTATCACAGTGAAGAGCTTTGACCACACCCTCGTAATACAAGAGGCTTGGGTGACGGCAGCCTAGCCTGCCCACCAACAACTCGTGTTTTGCTCAGGGGTCAAGGTCAATACTCACCCACCTGAATGTGATCTCTGTAAAACTGGAGTTTCTACATTATCACGGGAGAGGAATGTGGTGGGAATCTGCTGCCCCGCCCCCCCCCGCTGCTTTATTCAGATAACCGGCAGGAAGGTCCCGCACCGCCAGACAATGACGCAAATCACCCTCACACCCTTGTGCCTTTCGCGTCTTGCATCTGTATGCCTGCATTTCTATTCAGATAACCGGCAGGAAGGTCCCGCACCGCCAGACAATGACGCAAATCACCCTCACACCCTTGTGCCTTTCGCGTCTTGCATCTGTATGCCTGCATTTCTACCATTGTCTGTCTGTTCGCACCTCCATGCCACTGTCACCACGGGGATGGCGCCTCTCCCTATGCGCCTCCTGCACCGGTGGCCCCCTCCCATCTGTTGTGGGCGTGACTGTCTTTCATGTGATGTCTATGTAAACAGGAAGCCTGAGCTCTGCGAGCCAGAGCTGGGATATGCTGCCTTTCTTTGTATATGCTGGCTCTCCGCACGTGTGTTACAATAAACTTACGCTCCTGAATTAAGACAAAGACCTTTGAGTTTTCTCCTTCATTGGATAGAAACTTCCTTAACAACGCACGCACAAATCTTTTTACGCACACACAAATATTATTGAAACAATAATAGCTCCATACTGTCTCTGCTGCAGCTCTCTGCTGTCTCTGCTGTCCCTGCTGCAGCTCTCTGCTGTCCCTGCTGCAGCTCTCTGCTGTCCCTGCTGCAGCTCTCTGCTGTCCCTGCTTCAGCTCTCTGCTGTCCCTGCTGCAGCTCTCTGCTGTCCCTGCTGCAGCTCTCTAAATAAACCAGACAAATCAAAATGAAACTCCTTTATCAAAACTCAAACTCTGCTCTTAAAACTAAACAATAATTTGTCAAAATGAAACTCTGAGGACAAAATGATACACACTTGCATCATATGAACACACTTTCCAATTGGAAGCACCACACTATAGTACTTTATATGAAACACTGCAGTCATTTTTACTGTTTTTATTCTGTTTATCAGTTAGTTTTGTGTGAAGCTCAATGGAAATGCTTTTGTTCTCAACAAAGGTTTGCCAACAACCAGGAAGAACTGAAAGGTTACAAAGAATATCAACGCAATACTGTACATCACAGTTCTACAGTATACTTTACTGCATTTCTGTCAATGCAGTAAAACAAAAAAACTCTAATGTAAAACAAGGCAATTGTGCAAGTGTGGATTATGGATCATGGTTCCTGCTCTGACTATTTCCACAAAGGCAAGTTCCTGCTGTTGGTTGCAGTTGCCGACCACCCCCACCTCCAGAAGGTCTTCTAGTCATTTTGTATAAATATGAAACCACAAATTGTTACTATAGGTTTCGTTTTTTACATTCAAATGTGTACGTTTTATGTACTTTACTGTCTTGTGTATTTCACAAAACCACATTTTTTTCAAAGGGAGCAACAGCCAACTTGCAAAACAGTACATGTGATACAGTACAGTACTGTAAATACTCTAGATACAGTCTGCAGTACAGTTAGCATTGTTGTCAAAAAAGATTTGACTGACGTGTTCAGAGTTTGATACAGAAATAAGGCCTGTTAACATGTTAGGTTCTGTTGCGGGTTCTACTGCGTCACTACGCGGGAGCGTGAGGGAGAGAGCTCTTCCTGGTGTGAGATATGGCGGTTGAATAAAAATTGCTCTCTGCAACAAGAACCTTGTCTGTTGGAATTTACATGGTAGCAGAGGATGGTTTCCAACTATAGAGTACCGCCGAAGTTTGACGAAGCTCGGCCGTATGAGTGTTGGAAAAATGAAGTTAGTATTTGGAGACTTGTTACGGAGCTGGACAAGACAAAACAAGCGCTGGCAGTGGCGCTTGGGCTCGAAGGGAGGGAAAGCCAGAGAAACGGCGCTGGAAATATCCGCGGTGGATTTAAACAAAGATGACGGTATGGAGTCGTTACTTGCAAAACTGGATGCGGTGTTTTTGAGAGAGGAAAAGGACCGCGCGTACGAAGCGTACTCTCATTTTGACTCGATCACTAAAGGCAGTGCTTTGTCCATGGCGGACTACATCATTGACTTTGAGCAGCGGTATAACCGCATGAAAAAGTACAACATGACCCTTCCTGACGCTGTACTGGCTTTCAAGCTCCTGGACACGGAATGTCTGGAGGAGAAAAGCAGACAGCTGGCATTGACTGCGTGTACGGAGCTGACTTTTGCATCAATGAAGTCCGCATTAAAACGCATATTCGGAGGAAAAACAGCATGTGGGACAAACGCCATAGAGGAGATTCAAGATGGTGCATTTTTCACGGAGCAACGACCCAATGTGAAATTCAAACGTAGCAATGGCTCGTCCCAGAGCGGATATCAGCGGCAGCAGCAAGGAACGAATCCACTTGACAAGTACGGTAAGCGGACGAGATGCGCTGTTTGTCAGAGTACCTATCATTGGGCTAAAGACTGTCCCCATCGCAGAAATGACGTTAAGTTAATGGAAGATTAAAGTGTTGAAGAATGTAACATCACTCTGTTCACTAAAGCAGCTATGACAGAGTCAGAAATATTCCTAACTGAGTCTTTAGGATCTGCTATTATTGACACTGCTTGTACACGTACCGTTTGTGGTCAGAAGTGGCTGGACAGTTATGCTAAGGGTCTTAACAAACGCCAAATCAACAAACTGCTAAAAACAGAACATCCTAGCAGCCGTCCGTTCAGATTTGGAGATGGTCAAGTTGTGTACTCTAGCAGAAGAGTGAAACTTCCTGCAAAAATTGAACAGACAAAGTGCCACATTGAAACTGAAGTTGTCCCAGCTGATATTCCCCTGTTGTTGAGCAAAACGTCCCTGAAAAGAGCAGGAACTATTTTAGACATGGAGAATGACAGAGTTGTCATGTTTAAGCAGACTGTGCCTCTGGAGCTTACAAGTTCAGGACACTATTGCGTGGACATTAGAGAGACTCCGCTTTCCGGCACTCAGAGAAGCCGGTGATCCCCTTGGAGAGCCGTAGGAGACGCAGGGGCTCCAGAGGAGGCCGAAAGAGAAAGAGGAGACCGTATCTCCCCTCCATCCTCATGGGGAACGTACGGTCCATCTCTAATAAGACTGAGGAGCTGACCGCACTGGTCCGCCATCAAAGAGAGTACAGACAATGTGGACTTATGTGTTTCTCTGAGACGTGGCTGTGTGGGAATATACCGGACTCTGTGGTCGCGCTGGAGGGATTTAAACTTGTGCGAGCGGACCGCTGCGCGGAGGGGAGTGGGAAGAGCAAAGGCGGGGGTGTCGCGGTCTACGTGAACGAGCAGTGGTGCATCCCGACGCACGTGCATGTGGTTCAGCGTACATGCACACAGGACCTGGAGCTGCTCGCTGTGAGCATGAGACCCAGGTATCTGCCGCGGGAGTTTTCACACACCGTGGTTCTATGTGCCTACATCCCCCCGTCAGCAGACGCAGCCGCAGCATGTGAGGAGATGCACAGAACTGTGACCCAGATCAGGAACCCGCAGTCCCCGCGCTCTGATTCTGATCAGCGGAGACTTTAACCACGCCTCCCTCTCCGCCACTCTCCCGACATTCAAACAGTATGTCACGTGCCCAACTCGTGGCAATAAGACTCTGGACCTACTGTATGTTAATGTCCGGGACGCATACGCCTCCTCCCCCCTCCCCCCTCTCGGACGCTCTGATCACAGCCTGGTCCGTCTGTCTCCGGAATACACACCAGTGGTGAGAAGAAATCCAGCGCAGAAGAGGATTGTAAAAGTGTGGAGCGATGATGTGGATGAGATGCTGAGAGATTGTTTTCAAAACACTGATTGGGAATGATCTGCAGCTCTCATGGTGAGGACATCGAGAGCCTGACACACTGCATTACAGACTATATTCTCTTCTGTGTGGATAACACTGTACCAACTAAGAAGGTGCGGTGTTTTTCTAACAACCACCCATGGGTGACCCCTGAGCTTAAAGCCCTCCTGAACCTCAAGAAAAGGGCTTTCATCTCAGGGGACAGGGAGGAGCAGAAGAGGATCCAGCACGAGCTCCAGTGGAGGATCAGGAGGGCCAAGAAGGACTATGGGAAAAAGCTGGAGCAGAAGCTGCCCCAGGGAAACGCCCGCGACGTGTGGAGAGGCCTAAAGAACATCTCCGGCTTTGGACAGAGTGCCAGAGGAACAGCAGATGGAGACCAGCACCGGGCGGACGAATTTAACCAGCACTTCAACCGGTTTGATTCTCCCCCCTCTCCATCTGCCCCCCCTCCCGCCCCCACCTCTTCACACGTCCACAGCCCAGTGGACACCGCCCAGTGGACACTGCCTCCGGCTGCCCCGGGCCCTCCTGCCCCCGCATCCCCAGCCCCCACCTTGGACAGTACATCCCAGTCCCCCCTCCTCTCCATCACACCGGACCAGGTGAGGAGTCAGCTCCAGCGCCTGAAGCTGAGGAAATCCGCAGGACCGGACGGGATCAGTCCCAGGCTGCTGAGGACCTGTGCAGACCAGCTCTCTGGGGTCCTCAGCTACATGTACAACCTGAGCCTCAGCCTGGAGAAGGTCCCTGTCCTGTGGAAGACCTCCTGTGTGATCCCGGTTCCAAAAACAGCACACGCCAAGGAACCGGCTCACTACAGACCAGTCGCACTGACCTCCCACCTGATGAAGACAATGGAGCGGCTCATCCTCACCCATCTCCGCTCCGTGGTCAGCCCCACCCTGGACCCGCTGCAGTTCGCCTACAGACCCAACATCGGAGTAGAGGACGCCGTCATCTACTTCCTGCAGCGGACGCTCTCCCACCTGGAGCCCGCCGGGAGCGTTGTGAGGGTCATGTTTTTCGACTTCTCCAGCGCTTTCAATACCATCAGGCCGGCACTGCTGCGGGGGAAGATGGAGGACGCGGGAGTGGACAGTAGCCTCACTGCATGGACCATCAACTACCTCTCAGACCGACCACAGTACGTGCGGCTGCGCAGCTGTGAGTCTGAGGTGGTCGTCTGCAGCACTGGGGCCCCTCAGGGCACTGTCCTCTCATCGTTTCTCTTCACCATCTACACCTCAGACTTCACACACGACACACACAGCTGTCACCTGCAGAAGTTCTCCGATGACTCCGCCATCGTGGGCTGTGTGTCTGAGGGGAACGAACTGGAATATCGGTCGGTTATCAAGGACTTTGTCGACTGGTGTGAGCGCAACCACTTGTGCTTGAACACCAGTAAGACCAAGGAGATGATCATGGACTTCAGGAGAAAACCACTTTCCCACACGCTGCTGAACATCCAGGGGGAGGACATTGAGCTGGTGGACAGCTTCAAGTACCTGGGTGTTCACATTAACAATAAACTGGACTGGTCCCATAATACAAACGCCCTGCACAAGAAGGGCCAAAGTCGCCTCTTCCTTCTGAGGAGGCTGAGGTCCTTCGGAGTGAGCAGGCCTCTGCTCAGGACTTTTTATGACTCTGTGGTAGCTTCTGCCATTTACTACGCTGCCGTGTGCTGGGCCCCGGGCAGCACAGAGCGGGACAGAAACAGACTGAACAAGCTGGTCAGGAGGGCCAGCTCCACTCTGGGCTGCTCCCTGGACTCTGTGGAGGAGGTGAGGGACAGGAGGGTGCTAGCCAAAGCCACCTCCATCATGGAACAATACCTCCCACCCACTGCACAGGACTGTAGAGGAGCTGAGGAGCTCCTTCAGTGGAAGACTGAGGCACCCTCAGTGTAGGAAGGAGCGCTACCGCAGGGCCTTTATCCCCACCGCTGTCAGACTGTACAATAAGTCACTTTAAATGATCACTGTGAAAACCTGCACTACTATTGACACTGTTTCCAATTGACACTTGTCACTTTTGTTGTACATAATTATTGTCACTTTATTGTACATATATCCTGCATGTAACATGTGTGCACATTTCCTCCTTTGCACAATCTGAGTGTCTCTATCCATGCCAAATGTGACATGTAAATTTCTCCTCTGTGAGATAAATAAAGCAATCTTATCTTATCTTATCTTATTAGAGATGAACATGCTGAAGTGAGCTGTAATGAAAGTGAAGTCCTAGTTGTCACTGGAGAAATGTCCACTAAAGAAAAGCGTAAAGTTCTTCTAAAACTTCACAAGCAGTTTGGCCACGCATCTGCAGAAAGACTTCAGAAGCTCATTCAAAGCTCCGGAAACACTGATCAAGACTGCCCCATCATTCTGCAGGAGACCATTCGTGACTGTGAGATCTGCCAAAGATACAGCAGGTCCAAGCCAAAGCCTGCTGTTGGTCTGCCATTAGCTTCACAGTACAATGAGACAGTGGCTATGGATCTTCATGAGCTGGAGCCTGGCGTATGGTACCTCCACATCATCGATCATTTTACACGTTTCAGCGCTGGAAACATTGTGAGAACCAAGAAACCTTCGGAAATAGTCAACTCGTTCATTCACTCGTGGATAAGTGTCCATGGCGCACCAAAACGGATCTACACAGACAACGGCGGGGAGTTTAACAATGCAGAGATACGAGACATGGCAGAGAACTTCAATATTGAGACTAAGACAACAGCAGGATACAGTCCCTGGAGCAACGGACTGTTGGAGAGACACAACATGACACTAACTGAAATCCTTCTAAAGGTGAAAAGGGAAAATGTGTGTGGGTGGCAAACGGCTTTAGATTGGGCTCTTATGGCCAAAAACAGTATGCTCAATGTGCATGGTTACAGCCCACACCAACTTGTGTTTGGTCAAAATCCCAATCTTCCTTCTGTTTTGATTGATAAACTACCCGCTCTAGAAGGTACTACTGTGAGCACCAGAGTAGGGCAGCACATAGCGGCATTGCATGCCTCTAGAAAAGCTTTCACAGAGGTTGAATGTTCAGAACGAATTAGGAGGGCAATCAGAAAGCAGCTTAGGCCTACAGATGAAAAATATGAGACCGGAGACAGAGTGTACTACAAAAGAGCTGACAGTACAGAATGGAAAGGCCCAGGTGTAGTTATTGGGCAGGATGGGTCTGTAGTATTTATCAGACATGGGGGAATCCTAGTACGTGTGCATCAATCTAGGTTGAGTAAGGTAAATACACCTGATGCAGATACAATAGAAAATGCTACCGAAAACATTACAGAAAATAAAAAAAATAGTACATACTGGTGTGTCAGAAGCACAAAGTATACATGGAGTAGATCAAATTGTTGATTATAGTGAGAATGATGTAGATGAGAACCCTACAGAAACCAATGTAACTCCTCCTGATGCAGAAAGTAATGGAACTGCTGATTTAAAACTGAAAACTGGCCAAACAGTCACATTTACAGACCGAGAGGGTATTGAGCACACTGGCAAAGTTTTAGGGAGAGCAGGAAAATCAAAAGGGCAATACAAAGACTGGTACAATGTACAATATCTTGAGCCTGATGGTAGTGAGGGACACAAACTAGCATGTCAGATGTTGATAACCTTCACATCAAGCCGGAAAATGCAGAGGCTGATGTTCTTATTGTCAAAGATATCTCTTTTGATAGTGCCAAACAGCTAGAGATAGAGAATTGGCAAAACAATGATGTTTTTGAGAAGGTAGCAGACAAAGGTCAAAAATGTGTGTCTACTAGATGGGTCTGTACACTCAAAGAAACACAGAGTGGTATTCTCCCTAAAGCACGGCTTGTAGCAAGGGGTTTTGAAGAGGTAAATAATAGTAGTTTACAGAAAGATTCCCCAACATGTGCATCAGAGTCTCTCAGAATGACATTAGCGGTTGCCAGTCAAAATAGGTGGAAAATTCACTCTATGGATATTAAGTCTGCCTTTTTACAGGGAATGGAACTCTCAAGAGATGTTTACATTCAGCCCCCACCTGAGGCTGAAGGAGACAATGTATTGTGGAAACTAAAGAAATGTGTATATGGACTTGCAGACGCTTCTCTTTACTGGTACAACAAGGTCAAAGAACTGATGCTGAACACAGGTGGAAAAATGTCTCAGGTGGATCCAGCTGTGTTTTTCTGGATGAATGAAAATTCTGAGGTCATTGGTGTACTGTCATGTCACGTAGATGACTTCCTTTGGGCAGGATCTGAGCAGTTTGTGACAAAAGTGATTCCTGTGGTAAAGTCTACCTTTCAAGTGGGGCGTGAAGAACATGAGAATTTTTCTTATGTAGGTATGGATATTGTCACAATTGGAGACAATATATTGGTACATCAGCACAGTTACATTGAAAATCTCCAACCAGTGTCTTTAAAGGCAGCTCGGGCAGTGCAGAGAGCTGCTCCTTTAAATGAGACAGAGAAAGAGCAGCTCAGGTCTAAAATAGGACAGATTCTGTGGGTTGCTAAACAAACAAGGCCAGATGTTATGTTTGACACATGTAGCCTAGCATCTAACATTACAAATGCAACTGTCCAATCCATACATGAAGTGAACAAGGTAATCCGTAAACTTAAGTCAGAGAAGGTCACACTTAAGTTTCAGCCTTTAGGAAACAAAGATGATCTGAGTCTTGTGGTCTTTAGTGATGCTTCACTTGGCAATCTCCCAGATGGTGCAACTCAAGGAGGGACTTTAATTGTGCTTATGGGTAAAGGAGGCATGTTTTCCCCTTTGTTTTGGCAGTCTAAGAAGATCAGGCGTGTGGTAAGAAGCACTTTGGCAGGAGAAACTCTCGCTATGGCAGATGGCATAGACAACGCTATGTTTCTGGCCACATTATTTTCAGAGCTTACTATTGGTAATGCTAACATGAATGCCCTTCCTCTTGTTTGTGTTACTGATAACCATTCACTGTTTGATGCTCTTAAGTCCACAAAGCAGGTCACAGAGAAGAGATTGAGCCTAGAAATAAGTAGCATTAAAGAGCTACTACATGCAAATAAAATCAGACAGATCTGTTGGTCAGAGGCAAAGTCACACCTTGCTGATTGTTTAACCAAAAAGGGAGCTTCACCACTTATGCTTCTTAAAGCATTAGACGAGGGCTCATGGTCACTGTAATTTCTTTTTCTGTTTACACAGGCTCTTAGCACTGTTGTTGTTTTGTTGTGTACATTGTTCTGGATGTGTGTATGTCTCCCAAGCACACTTAAATGTTTTTTATTTTTAAAGAAAGGGGGAGATTGTTAACATGTTAGGTTCTGTTGCGGGTTCTACTGCGTCACTACGCGGGAGCGTGAGGGGGAGAGCTCTTCCTGGTGTGAGATATGGCGGTTGAATAAAAATTGCTCTCTGCAACAAGAACCTTGTCTGTTGGAATTTACAAGGCCAAGACTGATGGAGTTAAAAATAGAACATTTATTTCTCTTTACAATTAAATATTGATACAAAACTCTTGGAGCTCTTAATTCCCTAAAACTAACCCTATGCTGAGCCATTCTAAACTTTCCCTCCAGGCCTGAAAAATGTGCAGGGGACATCCAGGCGCTCTGCGATGTTCCCTGTCTATCTATCCCTGCTCAGACTGCTCAAAATATCCTACCCCCAGTTTTATCAACATGTCCGATGACGTCACATGGTCTGAGACTGGTCTCTGGTCTGGATTTTGGTCTTGGTTTTGGTCTTCCATATCAGTCTTAGCAAACAAGGCCCCCACCTCTGCGGCGCCTGATTGTGTTGGACTTTGCTCTGCCAAAAGTGGGAGAGAACACTGTTTATACTTAGAGTCAATAATTGTCTGGTTTTGTAAGCTGGTCATCTTTATGATTCCTGTACTATCTTGTGTCCTTGTGACTTAAGACCTGAGGGCACAGGTCTTTTTTGGCTATGATGTTCAAATGGTCAAATATTGTCACATCTGTTTAGTGTATATTTAAAATATACAACAGCATACATGTGATACAGTACTGTAAATACTGTAGATACAGTCTGCAGTAGAGCGTTGGAGACATGTTTCCTGAAGATGGAGCTGTGGCTGGACTCTCACACACATGATCCACCAAAGATGCTCTAATGTCATCAGAAATATTGTGTTGTTTTTGTCCTCTTTTACTCCTTGTCTTCCTCGTCCTCTTGCTCTTCCTGCCTTCAGACTAGCAAAGTTCTGACTATGGCTAAACTGAGGCCCTGTTTATGTCTGTCTGATGTGTGTCACATTTTGTGTCAGTGTTTTCAAGTGTGTGTTTCAGTGTTTTTAATCACACAAGGTGTTTGGTATTTTGAATAGATGTGTTTTCCCAATGATGCATTTATGAACAAAGTGTCTTATGTATGACACAGTGTGTAGTGAGCAGGAGAAAGTGTGTTGCCTGAAAGAGAAAGGGCCTTCCCAGTGGTGAGTGCACTCACAACATTCTCCCTGAGAATTGGGACACCCATGGATCTAGGGGAACATATGCAAATGACGCAGCATACGTGTTCCACGTCACACGCATTATCAATGTGTCTGATTCCACCACAGATTAGATCTGACACAGACATGACTTTATGAAACAAAGTATTTATTAAAATGAGAAGTTTTTAATTCTATTTCATATGAAGTTTTGCTATAATTAGGTACAGAACTGCTGCACATCACGCACTCAGAGGCAGACACACACACACGCACACAGACACACATGTACACACACAGAGGCAGACACACACAGACACACATGTACACACACAGAGGCAGACACACGCACACACACAGACAGACGCATGTACATACGCGCACAGAGACGTACCACACAGACAGACACATGTACATACACGTATGTTCACAGACACAGATGGGCACAGCCGCGGTCCCGCGGATCACAAAACAAACTGTGTCAAAGCGATGCTCTGAACTATATCATGAATCTATAATAATAACATGGATCTACGTCTCTGAAGCCTCAGTGAACGCCACACGCTGCAGTTGCTTCGGGAGCGAACGTCACCACACACGGCACCAACACACGCATTGAAAAATCTGAATGGCTCACACACGCTTCAGAGCTTCTTTCCGTTCCGCACAAACGCAGGTGTTTCATGTTGTTTTCTTTCATTATGGCGTGGCTTTGCCCGACTGCTACTTTACCAACAACTATCATAATGTATCATGGGATCATCCTCGCTCGCGAGTGAGCTCCGGACCTCACTTGCGCTCAAGGGTGGTTTTTAAGGGTGTGAGGGCACTCGCCTCTTCTCCCTAAGTATTGGGACACCCTACAACCCCCGCGGGCACGCGCACAATCTAGGGCAAGTGTGCTTTTTAAGGGCAAGGGTGAGAATTGGGACGGGGCCAATGTGTGTTGCAAAAGGAGAAAGTGTTGTAGAAATGAAAGTAAAGTGCAAAGCAGTACTTTTATTTAAGGAATGGTTAGACTGTGTTTTAGGTTTAGAACAAAAGCTTCAAGTTCTGCAACTTTGGTCTAAGCGTCTGTCTATAGTGTTCAAGCAACAGGAAAAAACTGTAATTGAATTATTGAATATCGCAACAGGCCTAGAGATGGGTCCATTTTACTAGGAATGTAAAAAACTATGAATTTTCATGACCGACCACCGAGCCTCATTAACCGGTTGAAACCGGTTAATCGCGTAGTTTAAAATAGTCCACATTCTTTGAAATAACAGCCATTTCAAGCCGCGTACTTTCCATAAGTGCAGCTATGCGTCCTAATGGATCAGAGCAGAGACCGCGGCGCCAAAACCCGCAACAGCTTTGGCACCTTTTGCGCACAGAGAACTGCTGTTTTATTCTTCCCATTCTGCTGTGCTGCGGATTAAAGCATTTTTAAGCAAAAGACGGCTCGTCCACATGGTTAGAGCAGCGAGTGACGAGCTATATATATATATATATATACGAGCTATATATATACGAGTATATATATATATATATACGAGCTATATATCTATATATATAGATATATAGACATATATATATGTATAAAAAACACACAACTTTCGCCCAACACGGGCGGTTATCCCTCTCTAAGCTCGGGTCCTCTACCAGAGGCCTGGGAGCTTGAGAGTTCTGCGCAGTCTCTATGCTGTTCCTAGCACTGCACATTTCTGGACCGAGATTTCCAAGGTTGTTCCAGGGATCCGCTGTAATCACTCCTACCCACTGCCCCGAGTGCAAGCACCGATCACCATGGGCACTACCATTTATATAATATATATATATCCATTTTCTTCCCCTTAATCCATTTCTGGGTCGGGGGGAGGCAGTCAGAGCTGCACCCAGTACACTTAGCACCAAGGCCCTCACTGATCCTCCTGCTGGGGGTGAGTCCACAGGAGCCTTGATCTTTCAGTGGGAGCTTCAGTCAAAGTGGGGTTAAGTGTCTTGCTCAAGGACACAACAGCAGCAGTCATCAGTGGGAGTCGTGAAGTAGGTCTTATGGCGGACCCACGACCTTCTTGGGTCCGAGACAGGCCTCCTCTCTGACAATGTTTAAAACCAGGTTAAAAACAGTTCTGTTTAGCTGTGCATACAACTGAGGGATTTTATATTTTATATTTTTATCTTTATTTTTAATGCACTGTGATTATTTATGATTTTAATGCTCTTTTAATTTTAATTTTATTTTGTTCAGCACTTTGAGTTGCCTTGTGTATGAATTGTGCTATACAAATAAACTTGCCTTGCCTTGCCTAATGGCTATATATAGGAACAGAAAAAGTCATTAACTACTAAGTACTAAGTACAGGAGCTTAGTAATTATACTTCCAAAACTATAACCTGTCAAATTGACTCGTCTGGGAGTTCTAGTGTTCAGCCCTACAATTGCAGTGAAGTAGGTGAAAAGTCAGCCAAACAGCAACTGCTTTGTCAACACTGAAATAACAAAATTCAATGGATAAACATGCTTTTACTTCCAAGGCCGTTTCCAATAATTTGGGCTCTGCTTGAAAACCAAACGCTTTACCTCAAGGGGCTTTCAATTTATTAAAAAAGTACCATGATGCCAGGTTTATTTCTTTCACACACAATAAAGGCTGTTATAACCCGCTTTTGAACACATTTTGAAGCAATAAACCTTTCTCCAACATTGCCCTGACCTCGATAAACCTCATTCACACATGGGTTGCTGTCAATGTTTACTTTCATCAGTCAATTGACCCTGGACACTTTCTACTATCATCTCATTGGCTTCATTTCAGCTTCATCTCTGTCAAACTGGGAAATAA